TTTTGATATATTTTCCAACTCAAATATTTCAGAATGTATGTGATACTTTTTGTCATGTTTGTAAGAAATCTTATCAATTACAACACAGTAGTGTTCAGTAGTTTTACATGGCGAGTCTGATTATGCAATATAACGTGCAAACTTGAAGCATAAACACATAGGCTTTATTTGGGCTTTATTGTATCTGTGTGTGAAGTGATCCCCCCCCAAAAAAAAAACAACTAACCTCTGGTGATCGAAGCAGTCGTTTTTTCCTTGCTGTTGATCTTGGTGTTGTTTTCAACTTGTATCTCCTCATGCTTTCTTCAAAGTGTGATATAATGCCATCAATTTCCCGTCTATACTTAATTATTTTTTCAATCTTACCGAAACATTTCACACATACTCCTTCAGCACTTGAAGATATGGGTATCACTTGCTGAATCACATTTCGTTTTTCGTCTGTCATTTTTAATTTCAATCGGAATAATTTCTTGAACTGAACATTGCCCTCTTTATCTATCTCCTTCACAACAAAAGAAAAGCCACACAAACAACATATATTAGTCAGGCTGTACACCCTTTGTGGTGTTCTCGGCGAGGAGACTATGGCCGCCGCCATGTTGTTTTGCTTACTCGGATTTACCGGGACTCGTTAGAAAAGATACGTAAGTTCCGATAGAACCAAACCGTACCGAAGCTTTACTAGGCGACGTTCTGATTGGTCAACATCTTAGGTCATGCTGAGGTGACCCCTAACGCGCAGTTGTTAGATCCTTTGTGTAGCGATCTTAGGTGAGCGGATCAAAGGATCTAATTTTAATTAGATTGGTTAAACGCAGACATTTGGGAACGTTCTAGGCCATGAACGTGGTCAAACACTGTGTATTCTCTGCTACTTAAAATGAGAGGTGATCTTTCAACTAAATTTTGAATAAAATTTGTATCTGCTTAAGAAAATAGACAGTAATTTAAATAAGTCCCTTAGTCAAAAATTGATTTCACTATAAAAAAAATATTCATTTGAATGTTAATATCCGCATGTGAAGCAGAAAAAGAGATCATAACGTTATGAGAGACGTATACGTTTGCTTTCGTGCGCCGATGTACACTTACATGGTTTCTTTATTTTTTCATAGTTTTTTTTATTAAATGTGGTATTGTCATGAAACTTGAAATGCATGATCATAAAATGTTACTTTTTGCTATGACAAGAAAAGAAATTTGATTTAGCAAAGAGAAAATAAATTATGTTTCCTGTCTACGACTTTTTGGGACAACCCTCGTATATTGAATTCAAAACTGAATAACCAAAAAATTATAAATGTTAAGATGTCTTCTAACTGGAATGAAATTGTTTCAACTAAAGCACCATAGAATTGGTATGATAATCTGAAGAAGTCAGTATTGTTAAAAAACTTATAAGTGACATGTTTTTTTAACAATACTGACTCCTTCAAATTACCATAGCTAAATTTACAAATTTAATCAAAATTGTTAATAAATTCTACAAAAATTTTTAAATAGATCAAACTATCTACTTTATTTTTATTTTTATTTTCATCATGTTACAGATCTTATGGAAATATGTGATCCTTGGCTAATTAAGTGTCATCTGCAGTGTTACAAAATAATATTGGATTTATATTAATAAGGTAATTAGGGACAAAACTGACTTAAAAACAATGGAATAAGATGTAAAAAAGTATTTTTCCAAAAAAAACTTTATCCTCTGTCTTAACTCTTGAACAGTTAGTGCCGAGTCATTGTATTTCACATGTTTATTTCCTTTTCTTTAACCCCATGATATTTGCCTTAGAGTGTGGCCTATATTTAGTGTGTCCAGATTAATGAGGCCAACTGTATATGCATTTATTTAAAAAAAAATCATGACGTTATATGAAAAAGGTATCTCAGAAGTGTCTTATATTCATTCAGACATAGTCATACTATGTTTGCAGTGTAAGAAAGAAGGAAAACATATATTTTCGTTCTTATTGTATTAAAATAATTTGTTCTTTTCAGAAAAAGAACTACCAGAAGGAGAGAGTAAAGAGGAACAGACATATCACACCATAAGACCGGCTTCAAAATCTGAATATACAGAATGAATTTTGCTCACTGCAGCTCCTTGTGAAGGAACACCTTTGTTGTATTGACATAAAAACAACGGAATTGTTAGGATCTTTGAACATGACACAACTGGCTGCATGCGATGGCAATTAAAAATGCATACATGTTTTGTTAGCCAATTAGACAACAAGCAAAATAGCAAATTTATCCTATTACCGTACATGTACTAGATGTATTCACTTTATTTTGTTGATCTACATCGTGAGTTTAAAAATTGCACACCATCATATACAGTTTATGGTGGGATTCCTCTAACTTTTATGAATCTGTTTGCAAAATCTATACTTTAAAGTTACAAATTCTTACCTTTAATACATTATACGTTTTTTTTTAGCTCTACTGGTCAGAGACCAGAAGAGCTTATGCGATAGTAATGCGTCCGGCGTCCGTCCGTCTGTCTGTCTGTCTGTAAACAATTTTTTCAAAAGGCTACTCCTCCTACAGTTTAGGTCCGATTTCAATATAACTTGGCACACAGGCAGACTACACTAAAGGTGCAGTCACACGATACGATTTTTCATCCAATTTTCATTCGACTTGCTCAGGTAAGTCGGATGGAGTCGATTGGTCGGGTGGTCACACGATCCGATTTTACATTCGATTTACAAACGATTTTCAGCAAGAAATGAACAGGTACTTGTTATTACTTTTTAGAAAGATGTTCAAAGACGTCTCTGTTCTGTCGGGATAAAAAGAATGGGAAGAAAAATCCCATCAATTTAATATTACGTCATTTTACCCCATTATGACGTTGGTGTTGACGTAGTGTACACGGTACACATGTCAATGATCACTCGAAAGTAGATGATCAATCGAAGTTTATTACCTACTAATTCGGCAAAAAAAATCTGCAATATATTTTGGTCTACCAGCAAAAGTGAATAATATGCATCACAAAAGTTAACTTTGTATGATAGGCTAGCCGTTGGTGAAAAAAGAATAAATGAATAGGTGAGAAACGGTTTAGAAGACGCTCTTTAAGAGTTGATAAAAACGGAACAAAATTAATATTTTGTAGTTCCTTAAAGGATAGACTTTTTCTTATATTATATAATTAAAAGTAATGAATTAATTTTAAAAAGTATAAGTTCTACTGAGAGTATGTAAATTAACTGATTATTGAAATGTTATAAGGAAACTACTGCTGATTATTGTAGAAAAAAAATTGTGTAAGAGAAATAAGAGTTCCCCTCCCAAATCATTGACATCGGAAGCAAATTAAAGGGGGCCGGGCTAAGTGAAAGAGAAAAAAATCAAACTTACAAGAAAATCTTGGTCAACAAGCAAAAAAATGTGTCCACTGGTCAATTACGGAAATATTTTTTGTATGCATGTACTAGCAATTTTTTTCCTTTCCACACAATGTTTTTGGGTTTAGGAGTTTTCTTTTTATTTCATCACATAGGTGTATTTATATATAAAAAATTAAAAACTGTTTTTATTTTACATATTTTTTTTTTAATTTCGTGTCGCGGGAGATGTCATTGTGACGTCACGATTTTCTTCAGAAAGTCGATTGAAAATCTTACGGCCATCCGATTCCCAAACGACTTTCGACTTGGGTGGTCACACGGTAAGATTTTAGTCGAAAGCAAATCGGATTGAAAATCTGATGAAAAGTCGCATCGTGTGACCGCACCTTAAGATACATAATTCCGTGCATCAGTTTTTGATTTCGATGAACGGTGTTTCCATGGTTACTAAAAATAGAAATTTCTGTGAAATTCTTTCAAAATGCTACTCCTCCTACAGTTTTGGTCTGATTTCAATATAACTTAACACACAAGTAGACTACACTAAGATACATAATTCTGTGCGTCGATTTTTGATTTCAATGAACAGTGTTGCCATGGTTACTAGAAATAAAAATTTCTGTGAAATTCTTTCAAAATGCTACTCCTCCTACAGTTTTGGTCCGATTTCAATATAACTTGGCACACAAGTAGACTATACAAGATACATAATTCTGTGCATCGGTTTTTGATGTCGACGAACGATGTTGCCGTGGTTACTAAAAATAGAAATTTCTGTGAAATTCTTTCAAAATGCTACTCCTCCTACAGTTTTGGTCCGATTTCAATATAACTTGGCACACAAGTAGACTATACTAAGATACATAATTCTGTGCATCGGTTTTTGATGTCGACGAACGATGTTGCCGTGGTTACTAAAAATAGAAATTTCTGTGAAATTGTTTTAAAATGCTACTCCTCCTACAGTTTTTGGTCCGATTTCAATATAAATTGGCACACAAGTAGACTACATTAAGATACATAAATTTGTTGATCGGTTTTTGATTTCGACGAATGGTGTTGCCGTGGTTACTAAAAATAGAAATATCATGAAACTCTTTTAAAATGCTACTCCTACTACAGTTTTGGTACGATTTCAATATAACTTGGTGTGATGTATTCCGGATCTTTTGTATCTTTCGTTAACAGTTTTATATATTAGGATGTACTGCGCATGAATATTGAATAAAGCAGTTCCGTTATGGCTGACCCACGTGTTGGATGGTGATTTTTACAACACAACATTTCGGCGATGAGGATGGTAGTTTAGAGTCGACAAACATACAGATTGATACAATATGGGTGAAAAAGAAAACGCTGCACAAATAATACAGGTCAGATCGATCGGTAAGATTGGATTTTTCGACGAATCACTCGAGACATGGGATGTTTACACAGAACGGGTCGACCTCTATTTTAAGGCAAACGGGGTTTCTGAAGATTTATTAGTGCCGTCATTCTTAGTTGTTATAGGATCTAAAACCTACGGGCTATTAAAGAATATTGTTGCACCTACTAAGCCTGCAAATCTCACTTACCAACAGATTCTTGAACATTTGAATAGACATCTGTGTCCAAAGCCCTCTGTTATTGCGGAGCGATTCAGATTCCACAAACGAGAACAACGATCAAGTGAAAGTGTGTTGTCATATGTGGCGGAACTCAGAAAACTGTCCATACATTGCAATTTTGGAGAGACTCAATGACACTATACGAGACCGGTTTGTGTGTGGTATTAACAGCGAATCTGTCCAAAAAAAATTACTTGCTGAGCCAGCACTAACACTAGATTCTGCAGTGAAAATTGCGCATGCAATGGAAACCGCAGGACGAGATGCGACAGAGCTTCGAGAGCAAAGAAACACCGGTACAGTTCACAAGGTAAATCTTAATGGTAGGCCTAGCCAGAAATCAAAATCTCGATTCTCGACAAAACCTCAGGCACAGAAGATGATGCCAGCCCCAGCACAACGTGCACACAAGGACTGCTGGAGATGCGGAGGGGAACACAGCATCATGAACTGTAAACATATAAACAGTATTTGTCGTTACTGTTCGAAGAAAGGTCACATAGAGAGAGCATGTTTAAAGAAAAAGAAGGACACGGAGAGAAGGACTGGGAAAAAGGTGAACTTCCTAAATGACAATGACGAGCATGATGAACATCAGTTTGAACCTATGTTACATGTGCATACTGTAAACAATAAGAACAAAGTTGACCCAATTATCCTAAAGCTGAGGATCAAAGGTCAACCTATTAACATGGAGCTAGATACTGGATCGTCTGTATCTATCATACCCGAGACGTTCTATCAACAATATCTCAGTGACGTACCACTTCAGGGGACCAAAATAAAACTCGAGACTTTTACGGGTGAGAATATTAGTCCTCTAGGAACAGTGCATGTACCAGTGACGTTGAATCGGCAACAGGGAAACATGGATCTAGTAGTAGTGAGACAAAAAGGACCCGCACTCTTTGGTCCTGATGGACTATCACAGTCTAAAGTGAACTGGCATGAAGTGAAAGTGTTAAAGCTACAACAGACTACACAGAAAACTGACACTATGTTAAAGGAAATTCTCAACAAACATCAAGCCATTTTCAGATCCGAGATTGGAAAACTGGAAGGAATTACAGCTTCATTGTACCTGGAAGATAGTGCTCAACCAAAATTCTATAAGGCTAGACCCGTACCTTATTCCCTAAAGCCAAAAGTCGAGGAAGAACTTAAACGCTTGGAAAAAGAGGGCATAATCAAGTCAGTTACTCACAGTAAAATGGCCTCACCTGTTGTTCCTGTAGTGAAGAAAAATGGTCAAGTACGTCTGTGTGGAGACTACAAGGTAACCATCAATCCAGTGATGAAGGTGGACCAGTATCCGTTACCTCGAATTCAGGATATATTTGCATCACTAGCAGGAGGAAGAAAGTTTTCTAAGATAGACTTGACACAAGGCTACAACCAGATGCAAGTAGATGAGTCGTCCAGAGAACTAATGACAATCAATACACACATGGGCTTATTCCAGTACACACGTCTACAGTTTGGTGTTGCTGCTGCCCCAGCTATATGGCAACGTGCCATGGACCAAGTGTTACAAGGGATACCGTTCACATCATGTGTCTTAGATGACATGATCATAACCGGGACAAGTTTGGCTTTCCAGAAAGCCTGAAATGTCATCTCTTTGGTATCAATAATGTCAAAGAAATAAAACAGAAAGGGAGATATTTTAATGCAATGAATAATTACACCTGAAGTTCCCAAATGACTTATTCAGCAAACTCCACAGTAAGGTTCGCAGTTTCTTTTGGCCGCAGTATATATATGGAAAGCATGGACGTCTGCGAGAGCACCCAAGGCGATTTTTGGTGAAATTTCATTCTAGCGGTCTTTGTGGTTCTGGGTGTTTACAATTTACTTAAATTCAAATACTTTCCTTGAACTTTTTATATTTTCTTAACACAATACGGAATTATCAACAATAATTATCATTCATTTAAAAGCAGCTAATCATTAAAGTTTGACAGAAATTAATTTAATAAATCCAATTACAAACTAAAAAATTAACATAAAATTAGCGTTGACCTATCTTTCATTTTTTGCAGAATCTATATTGTAAGCTTGTTCTTTTGTGCGAGAACCAGTTTTCCCTCGTCCCGTCAACAAATCTATATATAGAAATCACGTCATTGTTGTCAATTCTCTTTGTGTGGCTTACCCATTTAATAAGGCATAGTACTGAGGATCAATATATATACGACACACCGAAACTATAGGTATTTATAAGCATCGTACTTCTTTTTCTAAATTTTCCTTGGCTTTCAAATACGCCTAAACCGAAAGTAGATCACACACTCCTAAGCTAGTTCTTCTAAAAGAAAACCAGTTTACAGGCTACTTGGAACTCTGTAAAACATCGAGGACTCCCGAAAGATTAATGGAGGCTTACACTAGGACTTCACTTCCGGCATACAATCTTAATGTGTCATCTCCCGAGGGAGATGACAAAAACAGATGAAGAGCACCTTGCGAACCTTGATGCAGTTTTAGAATGATTAGAAAAGTTTGGTCTACGAGCTAACATGGACAAGTGCGACTTCTTTAAACAACAAGTGTCATACTGTGGTCACATGATATCTAGGGCTGTGTATTGAGCCAAAATTTTCGATACGATACGATACAATATTTTTTAAAGCGATATGCAATATATTGGATTCTAAAAGAAGTCTATTAGAAAAGGCTTCTAAATCATTTTAATGCATACATTTCATAACAATTAACTGTTTCATTACCCATTTTAAAGTTCTTGTCTCATTTTCTTTAAAAATAACACTTCAATTAAAACTTTTGATGACAGTTAAATCAACATGTTCAAATAAATTTCTCTTTTTATTTTGTAATATTGATAAAAACTTTATTTCCTTAGAAATTATATAATTATTGAACTTTTTAATTCAAAAAAGTAAAATATAATCTTTGTTGATTGAAATTCCCATCTTTTAAACAGAACTTGAAGAAAAAGTGTCTGTCCGATACGTATTGGAAGTTATTTTTCGATACGATATTTTTCTTGAATATCGATACGTATCGATATATTGATACAGCCCTAATGATATCAGAGGAAAGACTGAAGAAGTCACCAGACAAGGTCAACGCTGTACTTAATGCGCCTAGACCAGAGAACTTACAGCAACGCCGATCATTCTTAGTTAATTACTACCGTTCATTCTTACCAAACCTGTCAACAGTCCTGGGTCCACTGAATAAACTTCTGCAGGGAGATAAAACATGGAAATGGAAAAAACAGTCTGAGCAGGCCTTCACAGAAGTTAAGGAAATGATGACGTCAGAACAAGATCTCTGTCATTATGACCCAAACAAGCCAGTCAAGCTAGCCTGCGATGTTTCTCCGTATGGAATTGGTAGTGTTCTTTCCCATGTAATGGATGATGGAACTGAACGACCAATAGCGCTTGCTTCCAGATCACTTACCAAGGCTGAAAAAGCATACTCTCAAATTGACAAGGAAGCCTTAGCTTTGTATTGGGGAGTAGTTAAATTTCATACTTACCTGTATGGACGTCGTTTCACATTAGTCACAGACCACAAGCCGTTGGTTAGCATCCTGAACCCTAGTGCTGGAATACCTGCCATGACAGGTGCACGACTGCAGAGGTATGCGCTATATCTGGCTGGACATACTTACGACATAGAATACAGAAACACCAAATATTATTGTAATGCTGATGGACTTAGCAGACTACCACTTTCAGTGACAGCATCAGATTATGAAGACACAGCAACAGTATTTTACAATACTCAAATGGATCAACTACCTGTTACTAGTGCACAAGACAAGCTTGGAACTCAAAAAGATAATGTCTTATCACATATATTGGACTGTGTTTCCAAGGGACACAATGACTTACCTGCAGATGACGAGAGATTTCGTCTTTACAGTAACAGATTTAAGGAACTTACCTGTCACCAGAATTGCTTGATGTGGGGAAATCGTGTTGTTGTACCAGAAAAACTAAGAGACAGAGTTTTACAAGATTTACATGAGGGTCACATTGGGATCGTCAAAATGAAGTCTATCGCAAGATCATATGTGTGGTGGCCGAAAATTGATCAAGATATCGAAAACTTGTGTTCCAGTTGCAGTGGTTGCCAGCACCATAGTAACATGCCAAACGCTGCTCCCGTGCATCCCTGGGATTGGCCGAAGGAACCCTGGGACCGCCTACACATAGACTTTGCCAGGCCATTCATGAACTCTAGTTCTTACTCATCGTAGATGCGCATTCTAAATGGTTAGAGATCTTTCTAATGAAAACAACAACGGCAACACTTACCATTGAGAATTTTATTTTCACAACTTGGACTTCCGAAGGTGATAGTGTCAGGACCCCAGTTCATTTCTGAGGAATTTCGGTTATTTCTTGCACAAAATGGCATCAAACATATTACCTCTGCCCCGTATCACCCTCGTACGAATGGGCAAGCAGAACGACTTGTTCAAGTATTCAAAGAGGCAATGAAGAGCTCTAAGGGAGACCAAACATCCATGCAACAAAAGCTGAGCACATTTTTATTCAAATACCGTACTACACCACATTCGTTAACGAACGAAACACCTGCGAAGTTGCTGTTGGGAAGAAACTTGCGAACAAGGTTGGACATCATTAAACCAAACTTAAATGATACAGTATTGTCAGGACAAGACCAGATGAAATTTTCCATACGCTCTAATGTTAGAGAATTTAAGGAAGGAGAGAAAGTTATGGCCAGAGATTACAGGAAAGCAGAACGCAGTTGGATACCCGGTGAGATACACTCTCGTACTGGACCGCTTTCTTACACAGTTGACACAGGACTTGGCACTCTATGGCGACGTCATGCTGATCAGCTTCGTTGTGGAACTAGCGACACCAATTTGGAACCAAATAATGAAATTCCTGATGTCAGACCGACCGTTCCTACAACAATGCGTTCCCCCGAAGGAAAAGATGCGATTTCACAAAATGTCTCGAAAACTCCTGTAGTGTCCAAGGAACCGTCCGTGACAGAACCGACTCCAAATGTTAGACTCTATCCTCAAAGAGAGAGACGAGCTCCAAAGAAACTGAATTTGTGAATATTATACTGATTACATAGTGTTGGGAGCATTATAATCTCCATGTAATCAGTAAGAACCAGAGGTTCTTTCCTATTATCAGTATTTGTTGTAAAAGTGCAAATGTGTTCATTAATTCTAGTCATATAGTCATTCTAGTCATTTTATGATATTGTTTTCTTTAAGCTAAATAGCTTTTCATGATATTAAAAGCCAGGAACATTATCAGTGACTTTCAAAAGAAATTGACTCTTGAATAAGTAAAAATATTATGTTACAATTTTATCACTGAATAGTGACTGTAAAATCTTGAAAAATGTGTACATCTTAAATGAAGGGGAGGAATGTGATGTATTCCGGATCTTTTGTATCTTTCGTTAACAGTTTTATATATTAGGATGTACTGCGCATGAATATTGAATAAAGTAGTTAGTAAAGTATGGCTGACCCACGTGTTGAATAGTGATTTTTACAACACAACACTTGGCACACAAGTAGACTATACTATGATACATAATACTGTGCATCGGTTTTTATTTTGATGAGCTGCAAGGATCATTTTTCTTTTTATTGCAGTTTTAAATTTTCAAGTCCCAACTGCTACATTTCTATTCCTTTGTTTTAAGTATAAACCAGTAGAGCTACAGTCTCAACAGAGACTTCTGGTTTAAATTATTACACTATTTCTGTATGTATGAAATTATAACCGAATCACTCTCCATTTTTCTGCACTTTTTACTATGTGATGCTTTAGTGTATTAATATCTGACAACTGATGACCAGGCAGTCTTCATTTAACAGTGAAATACATAACACATTTTTATCTGAATATTTTTAAAACAAGGATAACATGCAGTGGATTGATTCTGTGTATAAAACTTCATAATCAATGGGTTTTCTTATAAATGTTATACATGTATTTGGAATAAAAAAGGAATTGTTAAAGAAAAGTGAATTTAATACTATTGTGTCGAAGAAAGATAATAATACCAGTTAATTTATGCACAGAATTGGTCAAAAGATATTGTCATGGATAATTCATTCAAGAATCATATGTATAGTAAAAGTCAATTTTAAAGATATAAAGGAAACTTCTTATCTTTTTTATTGTAAGTGCAGAAAGGTCAACCAGGGCAGCGTGTGTCTAGATGTACATGTGTAAATTGTTTTTGTGATATAGAATGTAATTTAGAAGAATATTACAAAGAATTTACTCATTCTCTGTGAAATATTTTGATAAATTCTATCTATCAAATTCAATTTGAACAATGTAAAGGAAAGTTCTTATCTTTTTTTAATGTAGGAGCAAAAAGGGCAACCAGGGCAACATTTGTCTAGGTGTACATGTATAAATTGTTTTTGTGATACAGAATGTAATTTAGGAGAATATTACAATGAATCTACTCATTTTCTGTAAAATATTTCGATAAATTCTTGATAATCTCTTAGTCACCATATTCTTCAAAACTGCATCCTTCTAAAGGAAGGGGGTAGGGTAGAGTGTAAGGTAATAAACTTGTTCCAGGATGAATTTAAACCCCATTATGTAGTAAGATTTTTTTCTGAAATTTAATATACTTATAGTCTAACTATATTATGCAATAAAAAAAGAAATTTGATGGGTAATTTTTTCACAGTGGAAGCAGAAGTGTGAGAATTTGTGCAAAGAATAGGCAATATTTTAACCTTATTTGACCATGCATCTTGGTGAATGTAATTCTGTTTTTCGCTTACAGTGCTTGATAAATTTAAGATTGATGTCAAATATTAATTCATATAGACAGATGTTTGAATTCATTTAGGACAAATGATGATTGATATAACAATAAAATATTTACAGCCCTTTTCATATCATATTTTTATATTATTTTACCCTGCTTTTTCAGCTCCTCGGTGGTTGATGAAGGCTATATAAAAAGTGTCAAATTTCTCTTAAACTAGCCCGATGACCTACCTTGAATTTTTGATATGATTTAGAGCAAGGACTCAACACAAACAAATAAAAAATTCAGAAAAATTCAACGGGTACTTTTTTTGTTGACAACCTATCAATCTCTACCTTAAAATGAAAGGATTGGTCTACTGTTTGACTTCTACTTCGTCTAGCATGGAAATTTCAACATCATACTGTTTCTCTAGGTTACTTCCTTTCCTCATCGGTTACATCTGGTTCTCTGCCATATTCTTTCTTGGCTTTCTGAGATTACTGATGTGTAGTCTGCATCCTTTTGTAGTATCTTGAGTTAACATCAGGATTTTCCTTTGACTTCTTCGAACAGCAAATGTTCAATTCTATATGGCAATAAAGAGAGGTAAAATCAGTCCCCGATGGAACACCTATCAAGCGATACCAAACCACTGGAGACCGAAGTGTTATTCACCCTTCATTTCCTCCTTCGCTAAAATGGTGGGATTTTTTCCAGTAGTCCCATTGAACTATCCTTCATCTCCATCTTGTCTTTGGTTTACCCATGTTTCCTCTGAAACTACTTTGATTGATTGTATTTTGTTTAACTCCCTCTTGATAATTGTCACTCATATGAAGACACTACCACTTCCAGCGGAGAGCTAAAATTTTGTCCTTTGCTCGGCACTCAGAGCCATCGAGCAGGGAGGGATCTTTTTCGTGCCAGCACCTACTTCGACACGGGACCTCGGGTAATCTGTCTCATCCGAAGGACCGGGTCTCTACGTCCGAAAAGTACTTAGAGAACTCTAGGAGAAATTTTAAATTCTCCATTACTCCATCAAAATGAAATGGATATTGGTCATTTTTTGCAGAACATGGTCATTAACCATTAATGGTAAAATTTCAGAGAACATCATTTCAAACAAATTCGTTTAGAAAACATTTTCATTTTCTATAATTCAAAGTCCATGCACATGGATAGGAAACTCCGAACTGTTCACAGCGATGGATCCAAATGTAAACCAATTCAATGCATTTCTTACCAGTGATCAACACAGTTCCTCTCTTGAAAGCATTGTTATGCCCCTCTTCGAAGAAGGGAGGGCATATTGCTTTGCTGCTGTCTGTCGGTCCACTTAGTTTCCGTTCATTTTCTTCGCAACCGTTGCACATACTGAAATGAAATGTAATACACAGATATATCAAATGAATATCTAGGTCAAGTTCTGTTTTGGGTTCGATCGCACCATTTTTGACAGAGTTATATCCCTTGGACTTAGACAAATTTCAATTATTTGCAGTTTCCGTTCATTTTCTTTGCAACTGTTGTACATAATGAAATGAAATTTGGTATACAGATATATCACATGAATATCTAGATCAAGTTCTGATTTGGGTACGAACACACCATTGTTGACAGAGTTATGCCCCTTCAACTTAGAAAAATTTCAATTATTTGCAGTTTCCGCTTATTTTCTTTGCAACCATTGCACATACTGAAATGAAATTTGGTATTAAGATATATCACATAAATATCTAAGACAAGATCTGTTTTGGGTACGATCGCACCATTTTTTACAGAGTTATGCCCCTTGGACTTACAAAATTTCAATTATATGAAGTTCCCGCTCATTTTCTTTGCAACCATTGCACATACTGAAATGAAATTTGGTATACAGATATATCACATCAATATCTAGGTCAAGATCTGTTTTGGGTACGATCGCACCATTGTTGATAGAGTTATGCCCCTTGAACTTGGAAAAATTTCAATTATTTGCAGTTTCCGCTCATTTTCTTTGCAACCATTGCACATAATGAAATGAAATTTGGTATACAGATATATCACATAAGTATCTAGGTCAAGGTCTATTTTGGGTTCGATCGCACCATTGTTGACAGAGTTATGCCCGTTGGACTTGGAAAAATTCCAATTTGGGGGGAGGGGGCATAAGTGTTTTACAAACATCTCTTGTTTCTCACAGAAACAAAACAAATTGCAATAATCAATGTACTCAGAAGTACAGAGAGCCGGGCTTATTTACAGAGTAGAATGAATTTCTTACATGAATCACGTTTATATTCTGATGAAAAAATTATTTTAAAACTACGTGTATCAATATAAATGATAAGACACTGACAGTGGGTTTTTCAATCCTAATACCAGGGTCCGATTTTGTCAGAATCAGAATTAATCTGGTACCGAAGCTGAATGTAAACAAACAGGCCAGTCTGGTTCCCTCTCCTGCTTTACCTCGTATGTGTAGAGAAC